ATGTCCAGTTTCAGCAATATCTCGGCAAACGGTGAATGATGCCTCAAACGCTTCCACCAAACACACCAAGTCATCCAATTCTATCTGGAAAACTAGTTTGTGATAGGAACTTCAAATGTGTGCTTTCAGGGTAACAAGAGAAGCACTCTTGACCGTGTTTTTTTTTTTTCGAAAAAAAAACGTTGAACTGTGACAATAGACGAATGATATGTACTTACCGGCAGTAATCCGAGTTTATCAAACTTATTCGGCTCTTCCTCTTCACGAACGTTCAAAGGTGTATAGAGTGGGATAAGAGCACCCAGTGCAGAGACGAGCTCCGCCTGGGGATAGTTTGGATGTGGTGCGGTTACCAACAACGGAGATTTGATTCCGGACGATAAAGCTCTGAAATATAATTATTCACTTAGTAGAATGAGGCTTCGGCAGTTATGATATTAAGCTAGAAGCGCAGAAGCTGTTGACGGCAGACGGATTAGAATAGGCAGATAGCCTATTCTAATCCGTCACCTCCTCGAAAGTAGGAATAAATGAAACAGTATATAACAAATTTGATTAGTAAAGGATGAGAGTAACTAAATATTCTAGTTTCTCTTGTAGCCAATCCTCCTTTGTTGTTAACTGCTTATAGTATGTTCCTCTTTTTCCCTACCACGTTGAGGATTGAAAGTGAAACGCTATTCCTGTTATGAATTCAAGAACGACCATCCACGTAAGGCGGGAGTTACCAAATCTTTGAAAGAATATAGAGACGAAAGAAAGAAAGTTAGGAAGACTACTTTCTACGTTGACCGAAACGCTGTAAAATCGTTCTTGAAGGCATCTTCCAGTACCAGAGAAGTTGACGTATGCATTTGCAAACAGTCTATGCCCTATTTCACTTTTAGAACTGCCGGCTTACCAAGCCTCAGGGGCGCAAAAAAATTTCACTAGGCAATCAATGAAATCGGCAACTTCACTGCATGAAAGCAGAGCAAGACCAGGAAATGTGACTGAAGTCCTTCGGGGGTTTCATTTTGCCTTGCGAGGTAGACCTGTATTCGAATACAATGATAAACGTGAACCGTTCCCAGGTCTTTAAGAGTGAAAATATTATAGCACCAAAAAGACCACTATTGCACTATGATTCGTGATAAAATTCCGGGGTGATACCCCTCTAGACCTGTATATAAATTAGCTGACACATGCAAGCCATGCATAGACCGTATTCACACTTAAAACAATTCTGAATGGAAGCCGAACATGTGAGTGCATCCCATAATGAGTTTAATCAACGCCAGAAGGAAATGCATCCTCTATTTTTTTACTTTCATTTGAAAATCAATGCAATGGTACCAACTACTTACAGTTTCACGCCGTTTTTCGCCGCAGTTTGAAAACGACGCACATCATCGATATCTCTTGTCACAGGGCCTGAAGAAAAAACATTGATAAGGGCATCTTGAAGAGCACGCAATCGTATCAAAATAACACGATAAATCATCTCCGGGAATGCCAAGAAACAAAAAAGAGGAGGAAGAGGAAAAAGGTTCTGAACAAACACAAAGGATTTTGGATAACGGACGATTCACGGCACTCGAATGGCACTATTTGAGGGTAGGACGGCACATTCACCAGTACACTAATTCAATACTGCTTTTAAACATACCAGTTCCAGCAAGAACGAGTCGTCCCGAAGGCACTATTTTTTTATCGACCGGGATTAAGTTAGCAGACGTTAGCGCTCCGCGATGAATCTGAAAATCAACCAAAACATAATATATGCAATTTTTTGATGGAAAAAAGCTAACAATAGTGTTTCAATATTCCGAAGATGATTCAAAACGCTACTATCTCTGAGCTTCATTCCAACTTGCTTTTCATATGTATTTTCAAAGCTCTTGATACCCCACTTTATTGGTTACCTTCCGGGCATGTAACGCCTTCTTCAGACCTCAACTTTACAATACATTTCCAATGCAATGCCCTCTTCTCCAACATTTCCAGTTGGTTTGATTGGATCCGATGTGTTCTACATAATAACTGATTGTTGACTGATTGATTGCAACTATGTATTGTAAAGTTAAGGTCTGAAGAAGGCATTATATGCCGAAAGCTAACTAATAAAGTGGGGTATCAAGAGCTTCGAAAATACACATGAAAAACAAATTCCGAAGATAGCCAAGCCTAACCAATTTCTTAAGGCCTATTTCCTATGATTGATAAAACAAGCCATCGATTTCGATGAGAAAAGTTTAAAATTTTGAAGACTATCAGCGCTGCCAATATTTTGAACGTGGCTCAAGTTATAAGCTTTAAAATAAGCAACCATGTTTAATGTGTATAAGTTGGGAAAATGGGAAATCATGGTACTCTCAGAATTTGAATAAGTTACCTCACGTAATTGAGACAGTTTTTTATGAAAAAACTCAAATTTTCGCACGAAGNATGAAGTCCAATACAGCCGCTGAGAGTTCTTTCAGTGGAGGTAATTCAGCAACGATCTTTGCACAACTTGTGACGAGAATCACACCGTCATAAATGGACTCATTAATCTTCGCTGCTCGAAGTAACGGTGTTGACAGTAACGACTTCAGCGACATGATTACCTACAAAAACAGTCCATAAATACGTATAATGTCACCAGTGATGAGTAGAGTGAGTAGCTGTGAAGACGGCATTTACGCGACAAGCGGACACAATCCGAAAAATAAACAAAGGAAATCGTATGCTCTCATTCCACGATAAGAGGCTCGGTGATAGTATGGCGTTTGACCTTCCGGAGAGGAATCTAACTTATAAGAGAGAAAAATTACCAGTAAGATTAACAATTCTAGAAAAAAGATTGAGATGTAAGGAATGTAAATATGGAAAATTCTTCGAAACCAAAAGAGATTCATTCAAAAATAATCCTTGACTGAGAAAAAATTCTGCACGGAAACAAAGGCATAGTCAAAGAAGTTCGATTGTCACTCTAGAATTATTTGAGAATTAAAAATTACAGAAAAACTAGACTTTCAGGATAGGTGCAACTAGCTACGGCCATGGGTCCGCGTGGCTCCCCCAGCAGCGCTCCCTTAAATCATCACCCATCGCCGATTGCTGACAAATTTTCACCGAAAATAGGAAAGATAACGTTTTTGGAGGTGCTAGTGGTGCTACTGCTATCTATTAGGGGACCAAAATGACGCTTAGCATTGATACGGCGCCAGAACTATTGATAGGAGCTAAGCCCTTCTGGGAAAGATCCCCATTATCATTACTCAACGGAATGTGCTACAGAGACCATATTCCTTTGTTGGCAAGACTAGTGAGAAACACAGTATTAATAGCGAAAGCCCAACTACGTACAATTCTCCAAAAGTCAACACCTCTAGTCGTAAAACAACATGCAGTGGTCGCTAAGTATTCACGGACAATATCTCGTAACATACAGATTCCACAGCTAAAACTACGGTAGGAAATCATGTGTGAGGAAGTTCGTCTGGGGTCACAGAGAGACTTGAGGGATTTGAAGAATAATTGCGAGTGGGAACACAGTTCGGTGGGCAGGATAACCATTCGTCCCTAACATTAGGAGCTAGAGCGCAGAGAAAGAGGGGTGGCCGGCCTTACAGGCCTGCATTGGTGCAGGGACAAGGTACTGAATTCTTCATACCTAAGCCTTAAGGGTAGAGTAGCTCTGGGTGGGATTGCTCTCCTAGCAGGGACAGTATGCTAGTGCACTACGACTTTCTACTTTTGAACTGGATTGAATCAGTGGTCAATCAATGTTCGATTCTTCCTCATCCCAGTTTTTTGCACGAACTATTCATCTCATCCATCCCCATCCCAGTACTCCTCTTCTCATAAAAGCTCAGCTCTTTACCAGGGAAACTATGTTCCGCTGGCAAGAAAAACGTTTTTAAGCACCATCCCGGGCCCATAAATATGGCAGTCCCTCCTCTGTGCTCCGGGGCTTAACGTTAAAGACGAAGAGTGCCCCCGTAGATTCAGCACTGCGATCGTCGAGGTCCTTGCAAAAGATGTTTGACAGCTAATGATAAACGGAGGTGGGTTGAATTTCTTGTACATTAAAAACTAGTGTGACATCGTTCAAAAGGGCCCTTAAAAATTAGGGGGAAGGGGGACCAAATAAAACAAACCTAACAACTGGCAAGCTTGTATACACTCTGCTTGAGCGATGATGGGTACGGTATGGCACGGTACGTAGCGAGGAGTTCCACCTGCTTAGGCTTTGACTACCAAAATCTGGGACATTCCTTCTGGGGAATCTTTATTTATTTGAAGGGAGGAGGAACCAAACGTGAAGGGAACCTAAGATGGGATGAATCACAACGGTCCAGAGCTCCAAGAGTGAACAATAACAATGATGCCGGGGGCCTCGGATCGTGTTGCGACCCATTGTGCAGGGATTATTCACAATTCTCGATCCAGTCATCGAGCATTCCTTTCATTTTCTGACTCATTACCGACAAAAAAAAAACGCGAAATGCAACTGGCAAGTGAAATGACGGCAATTTCGAGGGAGTTATAGCCTTTTAAAGCAACTATCATGAGATGAGAGATTGGTATGAACAAAACGGGTAGTGTGGGGTTGTTATCAACACTCTGGCAGTACAAAGTAAACAAATCGTCCTTCTTATGCACTTAGGTTCATTGATTCGATTAATTTTACCCGTTGGAGTCAAGCAATTTAAATGGGAAGAAGTCAATGCCTTTGGAGTTAATCAATCCGCCTCTGGGATGCGCCCTGCATTCGACTTCCATTCAAAGCTTATTTCAAGACTCAAGATAAGACTTATTCAAAAAAAACAAGCCGCTAACCTAATAAGTATGAATGCGATATTGAAGGCGAATTTCAACAACAACACAATTGTTTGGACGGAAGTGGTCCAGGGTCAAATGGCGCACTATCAAACACGCTAGGTCTTGGGATTAGTTCCGGACCTATATCTGCCTACCAAACAAGCCTTACATCCCTCCAAGATCGGTCAATTAGTACGAGACTTGTCTGGGTGATCAAAGCATTGACTTATAATCGGCTTCCATCGCAAATCATTGTAAAGGCCGAATACGCATTCAATATTACTCTGCGATTCTGAATAGAAGTCGATTGCGGGGCGCATCCCTCAAACGGGATTGTTAAGCGCCGAAAACTCAATAATTAGCATGTATTCGATTATTCAAATCAGCATTTTACGTTGCTTTTTCTAGCTTTGAGATTTGGTCTTTGACGGTTAAGATAATGGTAAGATTCAAAATTGATCAAGAAAGGAGATAGAAGACAGACAGCAATGGATCAAAGCAAAAAGGTGAGTTTTTCGGTTGAAAAATAATGTATTCATGTTCTGTACATACCTGGTTACTAGTTGGCCATTTGTATTGAAAATAAAGAGCATCAGTATAAAAACTGAAATTGAATTATGAGGTTTTTTTCAGGAACTTTTTACGGAGTTTACCTGAAAGCTTTGTGATACACGGAAACTTCTTACAAGGAGATTATTGAGGGTGAATTACTATAACAGCCCAATTAACAAACCAACATTGGGAAAGTTGACGTCAGCTGTCCGGGCCTGCTATCGCTGAATGTCATCAACACCGCTGCAAAATGAATCGTAAACAACGGGCGACTGCGAATGTAGAGCGATGGTCTCTGTGCTTTCTGGCTGTATTCGACGATAGTGTACCCATTGGTGTTTACTACTTGAAATCACATCTTATTGACGTCTGGCCATCGCAATGGACCTTCTAAGTGGGCTGCTTTACCCTCTTGTGAGATCTATATTGCATTCGGGAGCGGAAACACATGAAAGAGCGAGTGTAGGGCAGTTTATTACCAAGCGTTCTCTGTAAGCATTAGACATTGCTTTGAATCATGGAGGACAGTTCGAACAGTTCGCCTCAGTCGACCGTTTCTCTTAACTTCTGCGATCAGACCGTGCTTGAGGATTCGATCCCTTGACCTCGCGCACGGTAACGATCCAATAGGCTCTTCCCCATCCCGCCCCTAGCCAAGTGCTAGAAAAAAGAGCTTTTCGACTCAGAGCCATAACAGCCAGTCTACCCAGACCCTCCATCCCACCTCCGTGCTATCGAATCGTGTCACAATAAGTATCAGACCCATCTACATCGAAGAATAACAGCATTGTACCGCGGCTGACCTCAAAAATCATTTTATCGGCCCTAAATATTTTCAAAAGTCCAATACGATTTTAAATGGAAGTCAAATGCCACAATCATTCAGAGGGGATTGATAAACAAATGAAAAACATCATACTTTGGTCTTTTATCGTAAATCAGTTTATATCAATCACAATTGTGGAGACGTTTTGTGAATTGATAAGGGATTCGGTGAAGAGTGGTCTCCCAAATGGTAATCATGACAGACTGCGTCTCCCAAATGGTAATTATGATAGACTGCTGTAAAAATAAATTGAAAGTTGGCAAACTATCTGATTCCAAGCGAACTACTACCCACTGTAAACAACTGGATGTATACGGGGACGGATGGGAAAAAGCGTAGGATGGAACCATTACCATTTGAGAAATCCTGACCGGCCTCGGTGGAAAACTAAAGCGTTCGGGGTGGTATAGAAATATAAATATGTAAAGATGCTGGACGGGTAATGAAATCTGGCGGACCAGATCCTTCTAAACGTGGAAGAAGGAAAATTATGGCAGTTCCTTTGATTATGTCTCGAATTCTGAATTGAAGTCGAGTGGGGAAGGAGGAGGGGAGGGGAGGGGGAGGGGCTAATCAGTCAGACAGAATTGAATGACATCAAAAGGCTTCATCCTTTATCATTTTTTATTTCCTGACTCGGGGTGGAAGTGGTGTAGTGGGACCCTACTACACACGCATGGTCCGGGTGTAGATACCGAGTAAATGGTACCAGAAACATCTGGAAGTGGGAACCAGAAGCATCTGGGAAAAGCACCCATTTTCACACTTTCTGGCCATTGCAAATCAGCGGAAAAGCCACATACTCATTCAAAACGCCATTATACTTCTAAATGGAAGTCGAATACAGGTGGGATTTATTAATAGCTGGCCAATGATCTTATCCGTTATTTTGTGACTTCTTTTTGATTATGTTCGAGCGATATAAGTAAATAAGGTAAATAAATAAATAAATAGCAAGTAAATAAGTATACAAAATTCAGGTAGACCACTCTACAGAGTTGAGTAGAGAAGAGATGGAATCAGAAATAGGTGAGTGATTCGAAGAAAAAAGAATAATAAAGTGAATGCTTGAATATACGGAGACAATATGGGCACATGTTGGGCATTCTTAGTAAAACATGTTGCATATTATAGACCTAACGTCACACCCCTTCCAGATGTGGTGGCAAACAGCGCACGATAGCAATGATTGATAGGTAAATTAGTTAAGAATTGAAGGCAGAACATTACGATCGAGCGAAAGATGATACCAATCATTCACAGAAAGGCGTGGGACAGCATTCCCTGCACACGAGCGCCGACCATTCGGTGATATGGGGTGCCGCTCGGTGGTTATCTTCGGCAGACGCCTCGCAAATCATGCTGAATACGCCATGGATTATTTATGATAAGGCGGCAAGCGTCACAGCTTTCCGAGCCATTCCCCCTCATACAACGATAGAAGAAGCGACCAAGGAATTCTCCTCCTTCTATTCATGGGCTGGGGCTCATCTTTCCTCAAGGGAAGGCGGCNATCAGTGAGTATAACATGACTACGTACAGGGACCCAGGCTCCAGAATCGAATCATCGAGAATGAACTCCATGAAGGCAACTAACTCACTTGAAACAGTATTGAAGGACTTTTAGAAAATTTTAATCTAGAGTGAGTCGCTCAGGGACTCCCGAGCTCTATTAATGTCACAAAGTCAAACGGGCAGCTGGACCCTTCTTGAATTCCCATTCTTCAAAGAGGCGAATAATTGCCACCATTACTGCTAATTAGTTAGTAATCACTGCAAACGAATTTCATTCATTATTCTAGATTTTGAGATGTATGGCTTACTCTTCGTCCTCACAGTCCTTTCGAGCCCGCCGTGTTCTTTATCATCTGCTAGTTGGCAACTTGAAAAGACTTGTAGCATGTCGATTTAGATTCTTCATGCTGGGGAAGAGAAGTTCATTTGATTAGTTCGTTTCCATGAACTTCATCCCTTTTTTGTTAGTCATTATGGTTGAAACCAAGAAGAGCGACAGTGAGTGTAGCTTCGGATTCTTCGTACATAGGACAGTTTTGAACAGAATTCACATTCATTTACCCACTGCCTTTCAAAGCCCTCCATAGTGGCTCGCTGGGATGTGACGAGCTCCACAAGGCGGTACAGGAGAGGAGAGTGGGTACAGAGAAGGGTAGGAACATCCAAGTGATAGTGATAGAAAGCCTAATAATGCAGACAATAAAAACATCACAAAGTCAGGAGCAGCGAGAAAACGTACAAAGAGTGTTCACTGATAACGAATTCCAACAAAAGGTACTGAAGTCAATGAGTACTTTCCAAGAATAGTGATAGAATATACAACAGATGCGTGCCATCGCCATAAATCAGCACGAAACTGATGGCATGGACGTCTTTTTGGGGTAGTACGGTATGAGAAATGTTAGATAACAACCAGTCAGAGTGTTAGCAAAAAACGTAGTAATCTAAAGAATTTGATAAGTTACTAACCTTAAGATTGTTGAGCAAATTGATAAGATAACAGATGGTTAAGTACAAGGCATGCTCTGCTCAATCGCTCATTCTCTCTTTACCAAGAAAGCTGAAGAATTTGGTAGGCAATTTTGAGAGAGTTATTCGTTTTCTATAAGGGCAGCTGATCGGTCCATTTGATTATTTATTTCATAAGCTTAACAAACAAATTCAAGGAGACGTTCACGATTGAAGTAGTAAAAGACAATAAAAATACCAACTGGAGGAGAAAGGTAAAAATAAAGCATAAACTCCGTGGCGTCTAAATAATGTTTCGAGGATGTGCTCCAAATTCAACCTCCATTCGAGTAATGCATATATGTGACTGAGACGGTGAAATGCGATGGCCACTTGATGGAGAAGTTTGTGCTTTTACCCTCTCAGAGGCTGGTACGAATTAACCGAACCCAAAGAGATGAAAGGCTCCGTTTGTCTGGGCGAGTATCGATCGGAAGTTATATTGATTTGAACTTCAACCATAGCATTGATAGTGTACCACTTGGTTACACATTAACTTCGCTACTACAAGACCTCAGCCCGCCAAAGGGAAAGTTAAAGGCTAAAATTTTGGGCGAACTACCTTTCAGGCTGATCCAACTACGAATAACTGAAGGATGCCCGGGAACTTCAATTGCAACTGGATCTATTATACTTACCTGTAGCTGTGCATGAACAACCGTAACGATTTAAAAAATGGCATAAGAACAGCTACGTGTTCCTCAAAAATAGGGCCAAAAAAGAAGACGGAATAGGCCATTTCGTGTAGGTAACAGTTGCAAGAATTGATTTCTTGCAGACCTGTTTGGCTATTGCCAATGCTCACCCTGGTCCTTCACCTGCTGTAGAATTGTATTAGAGTGAGAGCAGCAGGCTGAACTAGTGCGTACTGTCCTTACCTAGTTTTCACCGATGACGTCACTACACTGTTTTATTTCTCTTTCATTTTTTTAGGATGTACCGACTACAACTTCTACATTGAGGATACGCAAAATTTCATCAAGCAGTGCTCAAAGCGGGCAACTCTATCTTTCGACCACAATACGCCTGTGATCAGTGCGTCCAAATTCAACAACGACGATTTCAATGTCTTCTTTTCGAAGCTTCGAAAATTTGAAGTCTGTATTCGCGTCCAGAATACCAAACTCAGACGGCTGGCTTTTCCAGCTATCCGGGAGCGAGCAGACGCCAGATGCCCAAAAGCGTGTAAGATTCATTTATTAATTAGCTCTTACCATGTTGCTTGGATGTAGGTCCAAATAAAAAAACATCATATAACCTTTTAGTAATAAAGTTGTCAAAGGTCTAGCTAATGTGAGTCAAATGGCTCCTCGTGGAAAATTGAATCTTTCAGTAGCAGCAATCGTGATTCGGGACAATCCCTTTCTGGAGGATATCGTCTTTGGTGATTCGAACAATGTGAGGGCCATCGCCATACCGACACTAATGGTGCGAGGAAATCGGAAACTTTCAAATGAGACCATCAACAAACTGAATGCTTTGAAAGCTGGTGCACGAGCTTCGAAACGGAACTCCATTCAAGCATTCGGAGGTTTCTTCCAATACTTCATTCGGTAGTGGTCCCTTCAGTGAAAAAGCCAAAGTTAGGATGGAGGGAAAGAAGCCAGTGATTTCAATATTTCCGGAATAACTCTTCATTTTTAAGGCCTACCTTTATCGGCTTCTACTATTAGTCCGACTAGCAGCAGGGAAGGGCTTTAGGACTGCCGTTTATTGTCGACTGCACCTGATTACGCATGGAGCACAGTATTCTCCTGGAGCAGAGCAGAAGGCTTCACGTAACTATGCTTGAACTCGGTACTTACTACTGACCATCCTTCGAATTAAGACCCATACGGAGACAAAAAAGGAGTGTAAGTAGCACAGAGGTAGCTTTCTGTAGAGCACTTTAGAGCAACACTGCCTGTACCAGACAAAAGACGTACGACTCCCTAGGTGGCAGCACACTGCGCCGTACAGATTATTCTGTTCTGCGGCAGTTGATCAGCTCTATACTAGTTCATCTTCAACACTGACATGGAAATGGATTCCCAGATGAACTTCCATTCGAAAGGATTCGAATAGATTATTTCTAGAAGTAGAACTGAGTGCCGTCAGTCTCTGTTGCGAGAGAAAACCTAAGTTGGAAGGAGAATCGAATGTAGTCGTCAATTGATGGCAGCCTCGAGCTCCTCCTTGCTGCTAGTCTGAGTGAAAACCAACAAATTTAAATCCACTACATATATATGATTCACACTGCTCTTCCCCAGATGGGCATCTGCTCAATGAAAACCATGACAATTCCATTTTTCGATTCACTGATTCACTGAGTATCCTATGAAGTTACGTAAAAATCATTCAGAGTGCTCCGTTCCTAAACCTCTGAAGAATCTGAGCGATTTGATTGGATGCGAATGGCTTCATGGCGACATTAAAATTGAAAGAAATCAACGAGATTTGCTTCCACCTCGTGAGCCTCTGAAACAATTCACGCTAACCGGATGTGTGATCGTGAAGCACACAGTAGTAGAAAACATCGACTTTCTGCGAAACCTCCGAGAGCAACGCTTCCCGGCGTGGCTATGCCAAAACGGTGAGCACCCTGTTTGTTGAAGATGAGATTGAAAAGTAATAATAGGTTCATACTTACAGTGCGGTTACATTAAAATGAGGAGTTTGGGGCCTACCGTTCCGGAGGACCTTTAAGTCTTTCAGTTTTCATTTACTATTCCGACAGTTCCTATCTCCGCGTCTGCTCGTCTTTTCGGTTTAATTCAATCTCCTGGCCCCTCCTGTCTATAACATCATTCCGTGTTTCTAATTGTAAGTAAGAGTCAGAATCTATCCTCCTTTCCAAGTGACCTTTAACTCTCCGAGATGTCTTGAAGCAGCATCTATGGGCTCAGGAAAGCGAAAAGCGATTTCTTGAAGTGAGGTGTGCGGTACTGAAAGAATTATGATTTTGTTTCACTGGAGATTTATTACACAAGCATTTAAGGAGCAATACAGAGTGCTTCATCTTTGCTACAGACGCAACCAGCGCATTGACAGTCTTCGTCAGTTTCGCACGGATCTCCCATCGCGTAAACCAGTTCGCCGATGAAGTTTCCTCTGAAGTTCAATTTTTAGGGTGAATCCTTTACAAGGAGGGTCTGTTTGCTCTGCTTCTTCTCACACAGGGTCGTATCCGCATGCCACAAATGTAGAGCAAGAAAATCCCAGCAAGAAAAAATTCTACACCCAATTTGGTTGCTCGATTGCTAGGGCAACTAGATCAAAAAGTGACTGATTTCATGCTAATGTTGTGCTGAAATTTTGGTTCCCACGTAGGCGTATTCTTGAATCACGCTTTGATTGAAAACTTCATTACTGGAAACGTTATCCTAAGATGCACCATATTTCTTTAATACGTTGAACCAGGTTTCGACACTCTGAAATGGGGTATCTAGTGTTCTCTGAAGGGTAGGCAATAAGAACGATATCACACCTCGGACCTCGGATATCCACGACTAGAAGCACAATTTACAAGTGGCACTCAAAGTTCGCGTCGGGCGACTACTCCATCGAAGATGATGACCGTCCGAGACGCCCAATGGAGATGGATTTGGACGTGCTGCGGAGCCAGATGGAAGCCGTTCCGTATCAAACTACACGTGAACTGGCAATCACTTTGGGAAGAGTCAGTCCACAGTTGTTCGTGAATTGATGTCAATCGGCAAGATGCGACAGCCATTATTGCCTCATGCTTCGAAGTAGTATGACATTAGTTTTAATAATGTCTTTTAGTTTCACTAACGTTTACCGCCGCGCCGACATGGACCTTTCTCTGCTCTCGCTCAAGCGCACCCACACGTGGTTCAAGCACCTAGTCACCGGGTAAGAAAAGTGGATTCTTCACTCTAACGTTCACCGGCGTGCTCAATGCGTTGACAAAGGTGCGGTTACAGGGACCTCCTCAAGCCCAACGTACACGCCAAGAAGGTTATGCTCTGTATCTGGTGCAGCGAAGACGGTGTCGAATTCTGGAAGCTGCTAGATGAAGGATGTACAGTGACCGCAGACGTCTACATTAAGCAACTGAGGAATTCGAAGGCGAATCTCGAAGCTACCCATCCACAGCAGCACAAAGTTTACTTCCAGCAAGGCAGCGTTCGGCCGCTCATTGCAAGAACGATCAGAACTGAACTATTGAATTTTGGTACAACTTGGACAACTTTACCACACCCACCTTATTCCCCAGACCTGGCTCCCTCGGACTACTCCCTTTTTTCCATCTCCAACGTCATCTGGATGGTAGAGACTTTCAGACCCGCGACGTCATCGAAATGGCAGACGAGAAGTTTTTCAAGGACCAGCCCCCAGCGCTCTGGAGCGAAGGCATCTACGATCTGTACAAGCGTTGGCAGAAGATCATCGATGCCAATGGGGCATATTTCAGATGATTCGCAATTGTCGTTTAAAAATTGTAAGATCAATATAATCATTGTCAATTTGTCCGAGGACTTATGACTCAACCTAACATGTTCCTCATTTTCCTTCATTTTACCTTGTGTCGCCGCTCTCTCCAATGTTCGTCCAACCCTCTCAGACGTTCTCTGTTCCTTCTGCATTAATTCCAGCCTGCCCTTCCACCACCTCTCTACTTATTAGTGTGATAATTTTCCAGCGGTCACCCTCTGCCTTGTTTTGTCTCTGTGCCCTTCGCTCCCTCTGAGAAGCTGGCTCTGCTTCTTCGATAGATTCGACTGTCTCTTAGCACGATACATTAGATGGAATTAGTGTAGGTGTGACGATGAGGGCTGGAGCCGCGACTGGAGACGAGGCGAAGGCTAACGACGACGACAAGGCAAAGAATACGACCATGTGGCATCTTCTCCTTCTTGCCGGAGACGGAACACCTTTCGGCGAAACAAGTGAAACCACGACGCGTGCCATACCAGTGTCTCTCTGAAGTCGTTCGAGGAACGCGACCTCCAAATGCACAAGCCCTTAGCCCTAGAATGAAACTAATAAATTCTCAGTCTTTGAGGATAGATCAATCCCGTTTCAGGATGCGAACCCGCAATTCAGCTACCATTCACGACCGTAGGGGCGATTTGAATGTGTAAGTGCTGTATACCACGGCCAGTGGTGGTCCATGTACAAGTGCTTACTGCTATTACTTATCCTCAAACCCTCCCCCTCCCCTCCACACCAATCTGGGCCAACCATCCAGCCTCCAAGGAATGAAGGGCTTGCTTGGTCAGGGCGCGAATCATTCTGTGACTTGATACACAGGCAATGTGTCTTGTAGTACACCGCTACACCATCCCCGCACAAAATGTACACATGGAATACCGACTAATCAAAATAGTAAAAGTATCGGGGTATACTTAATTTCGAGACAGTAAATATCCCAGCAATATTTCTTCATGAGCATGCAACCCCTTCGAACTGTTTCGAAAAATAGCGATGGTTCAGCTCAAGTTGTCCAACGAATTCTCTTTAAATTCGACTTCGCTCCCAAATGCCTTTCTTGCCAGCTCCTCACTTCTACCTACTTTCACAGTACACCTATTAGTGTTAGATAAACATAGAAGTAAATATGAAGAGCGAGAGAAATGATCTGTGGTATTTAACCCACAGCGTACCGCACATAGTGCAACACGCCCTTTTGTTTCTGCTTGCCGGCGTTCTGGTCCAAAATCACTCTAGAATTCAAAGTAAAGTCCGAACAGCACATACTTTGCGATTCGCTCGAAAAACTGTTGAATGTAGTCGCGTACAGTACATGGCTGTCTAACGCCGCGTCGATTTGAAAAAGGCGCCGAGCACACGCGCTAGCCAGCGCAAAAATGCAGCGTTGCGCAAAGGGTAGCCAAAGCAAAAGAGAAATTATGAAGAACTGTAGCAATGATATTTCAACTTTTTACAGCATTTGACATTGTTTTTAGAAATCATTAATAATAGCAATTTGTGTATACATGAAGATTTTGAGAAAATTCTTCGTTCGCGTATCGAAAATCTGAATATGACGGTATCGAAGAATTGTGGTCAGTTTTCTACTTTTCCTTTTCATCTCTTTCAACTCTTTCAATTGATGGCGAAAGTATAACCCGAAAATGCTCGCTAATCAATGTTCTAAATCCCACCAAGTCTTCCCCTCCCATTGAAAACTATAGAATCTCATGTTGCTCATTTGTACCATACAATCAGATTCAGAGACCGGGGGTTTAGCAGTGCAATGGGTGAACCTGAAAGGCATGTTTGCAGGTTTGAGCTCCTGGGCCTAATCGCATCGCGTCCGGGAAAAATGATCATAAAGAGTGCGAATGACTAAACAGGGTTTCCCGTCCGAAAATTATTATGGTCATTGGTATAGCCATCCTGGAGTGTAAGAATACGAGTTTGAATTGGAAAGGGCTTCGGCTGTTTCACGCATAAGACAATGACTAACGGGGTAGCCAGTAAGTCTTCCTAGCACTCAGCTTACTAAAAATTAAATCCCGAAATGGATTCGGACTAAGAAGACGTAGGAAATCCTGGAATTTCTTCCCTCGTATGAAAAGAAGTATTTGTTAGAACTACTGCAAGGCTGTCAGCAAACATTGCTGCCTTTATAGTTCGCAAGCATCAAATGAGGGATCATTCTAGAAATCGTCTGCAGCGGGGGTGTCGTCACGTTGGACTACATCGTCACTACGATAGCTGGTCATCACTGTGCAATTATAAGAGGAGATCTCATCATCAAAAACTGGACAGGTTTTTCTGAAGAACAGCTTCTCCTTTTTGGCCTCTACGTCATTCGCATCATAAAACTCATTAGTCATCTACCTTGATAATTTTTTCCGCAACTTTCTTCAAGGGGACTCGAGTGTTCTGCAAGATCTGAAGTCAGTTCGAAAAATTCTCGGTGAATTACGTCTGGAGGGAAACTTGCGACTAAAGAAAGTGGATTTTCTCACCGGACTTGAAGAAGTCGAAGTTGGACCAAATGCAAAGAGTGCGTTCGTTCTCTTTCAAGCATATCTGCTAGAAATTCCCCAATTATGAACTAGGTGAACAAGCTGTGAAGATTTATCGGAACCGGCAAAATCAAACACATGAGATAATTGGCAGCCCCACCTATTCTGAGATGCGCAGTGCATCCAAGTTCCATTCTAGATTGGATAATTGGTACCTTCGCGTAATGGAAGTTTAAAGAACGGACTCCTCTGATGAACGGCTCGATCATTCATTTATAGACAACCCATAAGAATATCGGCAGCTAGCTAGTCTTGGGTGTGCATACGACTTTCATTCTAGATCGTGCTTAAGGGCACAGCTCACGATAAAAATTGTTTTCCCATAAGATGAGTCCTTGGTCCCTCTCCCTAACCCCCCCCCNCCCCCCCCCCCCCTTTGCAGGCAACATATGAGACGAAACAAAGTGGAAAAATAGCTTAAATGGGGCGTTATTAAGGTCTAGCGAATGTATCAATTGTATGTCACACTACCAGTGGTCAGGATCTGAAAACCTTGATCATGCACCACTGTTCCATTGAAGCAGTTTCACTGACAGTGCAATCTTGCGAATATTATTGGCTGAATGACTATTCTGAGAGAATAGCACTGAATAAAAGAGTAACGCAAAAGTTCCCATCCCAGGACTACCATCTGATTGGAAGGCAATTTTGGACATTTTTGGCTTTGGCAGTGACACCAAATATCTCTTTTATGAAGAGTCAATGTGAGGGACATGATGGGAATCGGAAGGAAGTCGCATCAAGCAGCTAACGATAGTTTCGTTTCACAGTTACAACTTGAGGCCGAATGCAGGGCGCATCCCACTAACAGGATTGATCAATTTAGGAGGACTTTGCCTCTCGTCTTTCTATTGGGGTCTTTAATGCTGGAACTGCTGGGACCGTTTCCTTCTATTCCTTGATAGCACACAGGGAATTTCAGGCGGTGGTGTTATAATCAGAGACAATCCAATATTGGAAGAGGTGCAGTTGGTTTCGTTAAAGAAGGTCATCTCCTATGAAATCATAGCCGTAATCATTGAAAACAATCCAAGGCTAGCTGTGGACCTGGATGAGTGGTATGAGGTACTGGTACTGTGGGTGTTGTGGTATTTGAAGATTTTTTTCTAGGAAAAGCCAGTTTTTATTTATGGTTGAAATGCATCTTTTTCTTCAGATAGCAGGGGGAGAAAATCGGACCAAATTGCTGTTGACATACTCGGAAGATCGTGATGGAGAAGGTGAAGTTTCTCCGCTTGGATTTAATCTTAAAACAATTAAATCATGATCAGAGCTCCGAAGAGAATTTCAAAAAGTGCAATCTGTATGCAACTCTGCTACTCAGGAGCGAAAATTCCAGCAGGAATTGGAATACTACCACTTGGTTGTGCCTCCCTGTGCAAGAATCCTATTAATTTTTTCGTAACCATTGAAGAATCAGGGAGGACTGGTCGAGAACAGCTATCCAAAGCGCTCCAGCCTTTCCCACCAGCCCGCTGGATTTGATATTATGGGATCTATACTACAACAGGGTGGGCCCAAGGCCTGCGGCAGTGCTTCCGCGGCACTTCTCCGCATCCTTCTACTGGGAATTCGAGTCTTTCCCTTCGCAACGCGCGGTCGCGTGCGGCGCGCACGACACGCCGTTCGGGGAGAAGATACCAGACCCCGACAGGGTAGATAGCTTGAATGCTTTCATCTCGGAATATATTATATTTTAGTTATGCCCATTACAACACCACCTAACCAACTTAAAGGGGGCTTTGGAGCTAGACAGGGTAGATGGCTGCAGAGAGCGAGACCGGAGTGAAGAAGACGCCTGTACTAGCGAATAATAAAGTCCTTAGGTAAGACCACACCCGACACCTGCCACTCAGAATTACTAACCGTTACCGCTTCGAGTCAAGATCATAGTCATTTCATTTCGTGACAGCGTAGGGTTTTCTCTTTTCTGCAACTGCAGAGATTTCGTTTATCACCATAAAATCCAAAAAGATTTTTCAGGAATCGTATCATTACTGATCAAGATCACAACAGCAATTGTATTTGTACTTGTGCTGGTCCTAACAGTATATTGGTTCGGATGGGGAACAAGTGAAGAAGACGCCTGTACTAGCGAATAATAAAGTCCTTAGGTAAGACCTTACTCGACACCTGCCACTCAAAATTGCTAACCGTTACCGCTTCGAATCAAGATCGTAGCCATTACATTCCGTGACAGCGTAGGGTTTTCACTTTTCTGCATAAAGTCTTTAGGTAAGACCTTACCCGACACCTGCCACCCGAAATTACTAGCCATTACCGCTTCGAATCAAGATCATAGACATTTCATTTCGTAACAGCACAGGGTTTTCAATTTTCTGCAACTGCAGAAATGGTCGTTAATCACCATAAAATCCAAAAAGATTTTTCAGGTATCGTACCGCTATTGGTCAAGATCACAGCAGCAATTGTATTCGTACTTGTGCTGGTCCTAACAGTATATTGGTTCGGATGGGGAACACGATGGCGCAAATTCTCCGGTCTCGTCCCAGACAATGCAAAAACACCCGTCGTAACAAGACATTAAGGCGCTATGTAATTACCACGCCGACGTCGTTATTTTCTCAAAACATAACACGAAATCTATTTAATTATATGGATAAATTCTAGTTAAAATATGTCTGTACACCCATAATCTTCCAAAAAACTTCCTAGCAATTATGATCATAAATCGGGTTGACCTGATTCCAGGGACACAACATCCTTACCGGTCCCCAGTTAGGGACAAAAAGCTTCTGCACAAGGTCAGATTAGAAAAACTACAAACCTGAGAATCAAGAAGATTAAAGAGATTACTTAGCAAGGCAACAAGATCATATCTCTCGGTAGAGCTGCTGAAGACATTTGAGCAATTGCATTGCGATTTCACCAAAAAAACCCCGCTCCTCGTTTCTAATGTAAAAGTAAGGCTAGTCACAAAAGGTCAACTTTTCAATCTTCAATTGTCTTTCCCTCTCACCCTCTGGCCTACTTCGTTTATCTTTCATTTGTATAGGTTTTTAATAGTTATTTTATATCCTGTTTTTCAACCAGTAACAGTGTTACTCTAGTACATAGTACTCCATCAAAAGCAATGGATATACTCGTACCTTTATTTCCCGATCTCGAAATCCTAACATATCCTGATGTCGTACTGGTCGAGAAGTCTTCAGTTCGAACCGGTATGGCTCGGGGAAATCTACTAATCAACCACTGTAGTGAATTTGGTTATAACTTACTGGGCTTAATACTCACCACCAGTTCTTCAAGGTTCTCCATGGAGAAAAGAAAGAGTCCAGGTAGAACGACATTTCGGTGTAGTCACAGACTCTTTCTCCTCAACCCTAAACCAAAATGAAGCAAAGTCAGGTTGTCACCATCAGTCTTGCCGCGAGAAAATGTTTACAGAACGACAGCTCCTTTTTCCCTTCACAACGGAAAGCAAGAAGTGGATATTTCACGTAAGACAAAGCCATCCACCTGATGACGGTTTAACCTCAACTGTCATTGGGAACCACTAACGAACACAAACCACTCTGAGAACTTTGGTAGGCTACAACTCAATACCAAGGAATACATTTGATACTTGGGCAATGCATTCCACCAGCATGCAGAGGTATCACCTTGCTCATTATATGCTTGAACCTTCCCTTACCGAAGCCCATCTAGAATATTCGAACAATTGAAAAAGAAAAGCTGCTAGACTTCGGAGAATGAGATTTTTCAAGAGCAAATACTGTATGAAAGCAGGAAAACAACGAAGAGCTTCATCAATGCAAAATCCAATGTTTCCATTTCCCACTTCTCTAAATTCGACATGAAGACGTTCCCCAGACAATCTATGCTGCATATTCCGTACCCACATATTCAAGAAATGTGGGGAGATAAAGGAACTATCCCTTGACAATCATCAAATGAACAGCAACAACTATCGCTCGATACATTTATTCTGAACAGTACACTTCACGAAACATTTGAATACAAATAGGATTTCTGGATGTAGAATATGTATAAAAATTTCAAAGTAAGTTATTTCTACAACTAGCAGAAAAGCTATTGGGGACAGATGTCAAACACAAGAATAAACAGCGCCAACAGGGTACACATGGACGTCTCGTACAGGAAGCATATCCCCAAATTGAAAGTTCTTTTGCTAGTCGGAGCATCACTATCGCGATTACTTGAGGGCTACATGTGTTTGTCATAGAAACCAGTTCCGAGAAAATGTAGAAATCACCAGTCACTTAGATAGAACCACATTTTAAAATGGAATAAAAATACAGGTGTATCAANACAGGAAGCATATCCCCAAATTGAAAGTTCTTTTGCTAGTCGGAGCATCACTATCGCGATTACTTGAGGGCTATATGTGCTTGTCATAGAATAAACCAGTTCCGAGAAAATGTAGAAATCACCAGTCACTTAGATAGAACCACATTTTAAAATGGAATAAAAATACAGGTGTATCAATACAGGAAGGAAAGGGGAACGTAACAAAAACGCTGAATAGCTCTGCCATCCGGCAGATGTAAGGACCGGCGCATCATCTCTCAATTTAATTGCTGAAACAGTTCCGTTAAAATAAAATTGAGAGGTCTGTGATAGACACATAATCTGTGAGTTACTTAGACACTCAAAAATCACACAGAGACAGTGCGACAATAACAAACTGGTTACATTTAGGTGAAGTTGTGAAAGTAGACATTAGACTCATTTCGGTAGAAAACATTGTTCACACCATAGTGAAGAGTGAGGGAAAGGATTGCAAAAGATTGCGAGAAGGATTGCATTAGCCCAAACTTGCACGCAAGTTGCGACCGCTTCAAAATTCAGAAGCTCTGTCCTCACGAAGCAGTGAAGTAAAGAATGATGACTCAAGAGAAAGGAAACCAGCCAGAGGGTAATGTTGCCTGTCTCCCTTGCTTTGTATGCCTTTCTAGAACTGAAGAGACAGTAAACAAAAGCTGCCCACCCACCTTTATGGGGCACAAGGAGTCAGCTTTCAAGAAGCTAGTAACGAGTCACATCAAAAGATTGCCAAAAACTGATGAAGAAATTTGTAAACAAGACCTTCCAATTCCAACTCTAATGAATCACGACGCAAAAAGATGCAGCGATGATACAATGAAGCAGCTAATGAAGTATTTTTTTACATTAAATGAAGAGCAGCAGCTAGACAAGAGCAACTGTGTGACGTCGTTACAGCAATATTGAAATTGGTTATCTACTTGACCCAAATCATGCATAGCTTAATTCAAGAAAGCAAAAGTCCATGATACCTGTGGAAATATAAGCATCGTGGCGCGAAACAATTTGCATAAAGCGAAGAAATACTTCGAGGAAAATTTGATTTACAAAAAAAAAAAGCTTTTAAATGTTGGAAAAAACATTCTACCCACCACCTATTATTCTTGTGCATGACAGGTAAACAGGTAAACAGGCATAGCGTGCGTTAAAACATCAATAAAAGGGTATGCACAGCAAAGTATAAAACGGGAACCAATTCATAGATCTGCTGGTTATCCATGATAGGCAAGTGCACTGACAGATTTTTAGAGAAAAAATATGCGTACACACAGCGTATTACATAAAAAGTCCCAAGCAATGAACACTGAATAATCGATAATCGATTGTTTTCGGCGTTCCTTCGAATTCGATTTAATCCCTGCTGGAAGGTAATTATATAGCAAGAACATTCAACCTGTTTAAAAAAAAACAGAGGAGAAATGAACCAATTTGCATGCGCATGATACGTCAACGTCAACGCTTGCGAAATTTGAATACACTATCGCCTCTCCCCACTTTCCATCCATAGAACATTTCCTATTCTATTTACACTACTCCCTATCCGCTAACACTCTTTCTGGCAGAAAATTCAACAAAACAGAAGAACTTATGTAGCCAAAGTTCTCTCGCAACTAGAGCTGAGAAATAGCTAAAGCTACTTTCTTGGAGAACATTCCATACAAAACCACACACCCTCACTTGGCAAGCGGTAAAACAACAGAAAAAAGGTAAGTCAAGGTTAGATTGGAAGCTGTGAGCATAGCATCAGGACAAGGCATGCAAAAGGCAACGAAACAAGGACTACATCACTCACAAAGCGAAAGCCAAAGACTGGCAGAATGGAGTAGCAAACTTACTTGCTGGATCCAAACAATGACAGCAACATCCAGAAAATGTAGACGATNCAAGGTTAGATAGGAAGCTGTGAGCATAGCATTAGGAAAAGCATGCAAAAGGCAACGAAACAAGGACTACATCACTCACAAAGCGAAAGCCAAAGACTGACGGAATGGGATCGCAAACTTACTTGCTGGACCCAAACAATGACAGCAACATCCAGAAAATGTAGACGATGTCCAGGAAGATTTGTACAGCAGCGAAAATGTGATCCTCAGGCGAGATCTCGTACTTGCGTCCACCCATTAACAACTGCAATGAAAAGTAGTTGTAACTGTAAGTTTGGACTGCATTGGATAGTTCGATTACTCAACAACCCAAGATCAACATTCAATTTAAATTGCCAACCGATAACTGAACTTGCCCACCTGGACATCGATAGCCAAATAAAACATGAAAAGGAGCGAAGCCAATGCAGCGTACACCATGTAGATGAATTTGACTTTAAAGAAAATAGCCGAGATGATAGCCACCAAACCGAATACCATCAAACACATCGACAGGATGAACACTATTCCCATCATGCTTAACAAGGAATTATAATACAACGTACTGTTGCACCTTTGTTTTTTTTGGAAGCTTGTGAACAATAAACAAGAGACAAACAATGCAAGTTATTACTTTGTCAGGTCGTATTTCGTTTGCATTGAGAAGATGATGATCGATCCACAGCAAATCGAGCAGATGATAAGTGTGAGAAGCACTGAGACAATGTCGTGATGCGCGGTAATCATCATTGTCATGTAGCCGACAGCTAATGTCTGGAAATTAAGTGAAAAAATGCAGATTACAACACAAAAAGCTAATTAATGAACTCACGAAAACTGCCGTTAAAATGATGTTTGCTGGGAAAGAACGTCTCACCGACTCGCAACACATCAAAGCCAAATAAACAGCAAAGAAGATCCCACTGAAATTTTTTGTGCGTATTTTCATTGATAACTGCGACAATCCGTTAACGACTCACTATGCCGCCCAGTACATTCCCAAACTTCTTGAAACGAACAGCCTTGTATCGTTATTCATGAATGGAATTGCAGTCATTATCGCCACAACGCCGAGCTTAAATGCTTCGAAATGTTGAAAAGGAAGTAAAAAAAAACTACGAGTGTTCAATACTCACAACTCTTACAGTACTGAAAATGCCAAACAAATGAAATAGAAACAAAGTAAGATGAATAGAAATGGGCTTACCATAATCGCGACCATGAAGAACACCTTGCGTACAAAAGCTGCACGGATTGTTCGATCACTATAAAAGACAACATATCAGATTAGTAGACCTAAAGTTGAGGTAATTGCGCTGCATACAGTTCCACAGACTCACCTGAACTGAAGATTATATTTATCAGGCTCGCCACTCTCAGCATAAGCAGGGTTACCACCCATACCCATCATTGTTGGATGAGGCATAGGAGGAGGCATGAATCCTGAAAAGATCTCAATTTCAGAGGGACGGAAACACAACATGAACTCCATAAATCAGGAGAGAAAAAAATCATTTAACATTATAACGGCTAAGCTGCACATAATGGAACGACGACAAATATTCGGTCTCCCATATCTTCAGCTCCTACTGATATCCAATATAGGGTAAAACTCCTACAACCACTACTAGACTTTCTCACCGCCAAAGCAAATTATTACGCGACAGAATTGAAGTAAATATTCTGACAACTACGTCTCTTAAAGAAGGCTTTGATGGGCACCCTTGCTTACTCCTTTTCGCTATACATGGATTGCTTATAATGTAGCAAGCCCATGGCCATCCCTGTACCTACTTCATGATATGCAGGGAAATATTTGAATCGATAATCATTTCATATAATTCTCTATGGCATTTTATTGCGACACCACCGTCAGATCTGATATAGTCGACAATTTCCCGTTTCATTGTGAGAGAGCACTCTTCCCACAGTAAAAAGGATCCTTGATACATGACTCTCAATTAGCATATGATACCCACTCTATTTAGTTTGAAGTTATTTACATCAAGCTACTATGACTAGTAGGGTATTACTAGGGCGGAAGGAGGCAGCTGGACGGCCGCCAAAACTCAGTATAGGAGCTCAAATTGAAATTCTCAAATAAACAAAAATGGGAGAATGGCTGTCACTTTCCGAAAAAAACGTGAAATAAAGACCCAGAGAGACTACACAACCAGTGAAGACTTTGCTTCGAGGTGCGAGAAAGAGTCATCGACGTTTTCTTAGCTAAACCACGCACGCACGTATTGAAATAATCCAAATTATACGATGCAGCTTTCGAACATTACCTGAGCGTGTGTGGGAGATAAGTGGGCGTTTGGCTGAAAATCTACAAGGAAGGTAAGACCACTACGAAGGCTTGGGCATAGCATAAGAGAGAATGTCTTTATTTCATACTATGCACCATATTTAAAAACCTACGAGATCGTGGTTATGAAGGGTGATTACTTCAAAAATAAGGGAGTTAGGTATGCGCCTATGACCGCTGCGACTCTACAAACTGGGATTACCCTTCCTTTCCATGTGAACAGTGAAGAAAAGTTAGGCTCAATGCAACAGCGATAAATGCAGCAAAGCCAAGAACGATGTTACGTGCTGCTAAGAAACGAAGAAGGTCGAAAAAGTGAAACAAGATGTTTACGATCGACTTGTAGAGTTAAGCATGCACTCAAACGAATCAGGCAACACATCGACATCAACAGTCATGAATCATTCCCTCTCCGAAAGTCAGTCCTGGCGTCCTAGGGCAACTTCTCTGTCAGCGGGCTCAAATTCCCTTCTAGAGGTCAGAACTCAAGGCCTTGAGGGGGAAAAAATTCGGGAGCCTAACTGTAACTGTAACTGTTCCAGTTGAAAAAATAAATAAAGCCTTCAGACACAAACCTTGTTGTTGTTGCCCTTGGTTCCATCCTGGTGGAGGAGGTCCTCCTGCTGGATATGGATTTTGGTACTGTGGATTGTAGCCAGGCTGACCATAAGGTCCTGACATCGCTGAAAAATTATAAATTACGCCAAGGCAGAAGTCAGTGCTCACACACAACGAACGCGACATGATTTTTAGCGATTTCTTTAGGTTTCAGCAATAGATAAGGCAACATAAGACTATCGATAATATTTATCACAAAGGAACTTTGATGTTGGATGACTCTAGGTGCATAACCCATCGTCACAAAATGCTCAAACGAGATAATTAATTTAGCTTAACGTACACAATAGTGCAAGCAAGAGATCCTCCGAAGACAACTGCTATCAAGCATTATTTGAGACAGGCTTCCACCCAACGATATATCGACTACATGAGCCGCTCATTGATTTACATTTCATCCTTTAACTTGACAATTCACTATCCCAACTGCCTTACAACAGCTATCATTATGACCGGTTACATGTAAGCACTCAGCACTACCTTGATACGCCGCTCGAATGTAGAAGGAGTATGAGGATTCTTTGCCGTCATACCCTTCCAACGCGTAGAAGAAGGGCCTTTGAGGCACCCAGACAGGTCTTCACCAGCCTTTCAGCTGAAATAGAATTCTTCCGTCCAACACAAGTCTCATGCATCCTATATCAGGAGAAGTGGCTCTCAACCAGCTATGGTTCTAGAACACATTACCACCACCTTCTGCGACCTTATGCTCACCATTGAACCCAAAATTGGAAACAAAAGAAACATACTCATTCTAGAAATACATGTTCATCCAAAGCTTTGCAACTAACTACTACCACCCATCTAGTAGACACACACCGCTCAGTTAAGAGAGACTGGGACGTGCAGAAAAATTACTCACTAAATCTGCTCTATTTCACCCCTACATCAATTCTAGCAACAAATAAGATTCAGAGATCAACGTCTGTTGAGGCCGTGTTTGCTAATTCTTATAATAGCAATATGATGCGCACGGACATGACTCCCTGACCGGGAAATCTGTTCGATGACTCATTTTGCTCTGGGAACTGGGAAACAAAACAAAAACAGTCTATCTTATAAGCGATAGATGAATACACTCTAGAATCATGAATAATATCATATTCCTCACAAACTTATGAAGACTATCTCGGAGAACACTGTTCAAAGGTCTGGCCACCCTAATGCAATCAGCCTGATGGGCACGAAAATAGCATAGCTGACTGCTGCCGCAATCGATGCAGACTGGACCTCAAGGATCACGTGGGGCTGGAATTAAAGCGTGTGCACCTCTACGCTCCAGCAAACAACAATCGGCAATGCAGACGTCGGTAACCGAAATTCAGAAGCACCAAAAAACATAGAAAATACCGGTAATACTAAATTGACTTTCAAAGAGAAGGACTGCCACAACCGAGCTGCAAGCTAATTCACAGCACCAAAAGAAATATAGTCAAATTGATAATCCCTTCCCCTATTACCAATGAAACCCCTACTTTTAACTATCATGACTGCAGGTTCAACAAAATTGGTCCACTAAGCGTCCGTTACGAATGATAGTAATTACATGAGGCTTTTTCCCACTGCCTCAACTTGCCATTAACTTAATGTTTCATGCCCCTTCTTCTTCTTGTAATTCTCGGGGGTTTCGAAATAACATCGAAGCAGGCACTGGTGTCAAATCCAAAACACACTCAACAAAGCACCAAACATCTTGAAATCGCTGAGCGGCTTGAATCGCTTACCACGTGTAACAAGTAGAACGAGATGAAGTATGTTTGGTAGTCGGTAAGTTGATAAATACCATAAAAAGAAATTATGTGGAGAGATAGGACAGAAAAGTCGTAGCAATTCAAAACATGCGCCGGAACCAATGGAAACCGAAAGTACGACGTAGGACGACTAAGATGACTCACAAACTACCGCCCACATGGTTTTTCTCAACAATGACAATGGTGAAGACTGGTTCCACTACGAATACTGCTATTGAGATGAGACAGGGAAAGGGTACCGCATCGATCGGTAGGCGATGGTTGGATATATGATGGTGCTCAGTGGAGAAAACAAACGAAGAATCGGCACAAAGTAGCCTTGAGGAAGGATATAGTCGTCAGGCGTCATATGATCGCATCTCATACGGGATTATGAAAGATCGAGAAGAACCACGTCACTCTGGCAACTTCGGCAAACAACTCGTTCCGTCACTGCCTTTACGAACAGTTTTTACTTTTCGAACTGTTCTCTGAAATACCCTATTCTCCAAATTCACCCAATAATACATTGAAGTGTAACCAAACGAGTGGACTACTTTCGAAGAGAACAGAGTCTGAAGAACTATGTTGCACATCGATCAGAACGCTGATTGGGGGCAAGGAGATTTTTTTTTTTGATACGATTGCTTTCGTAAGGGTAGAGTCTACTCACCCGTAAAGTTGTTTCAGTTCTAAATCCCAAAATTATTGATTCCATGATACTTTTTAGAGCATCTTCAATGGATCTGTACCAAAAATACACCGCCAAAAAACCAGCAAAGAAAAAGGCTTGCGACCAGCAACTACCAAAACCCGTTAGAAGACCAAAAAGACCGTTAGCAAACCCTTCGAAAGCAGCCCAGTCATAAGAACTTCAACATCTACTCCTTGTTACAACCATCACCGAATTGTAGTAACGGCTCACGAGGAACTAGCTTTAGCAGGAGGATCTGGCACGATTTTTTGACACCATACAGTATCTCGGTAACCTAAGTTTAGGGTAGTTCGGGGAACAATCGATCACGGCTTCTACACTCAAAAACGGTATGGCGGTCGAGTGGAAATACTGTGTCTACGGCAGACAGGAAAAAAACATCAGCTAAAAGGCACGTCTATGAAATTACCGAGCGCGAAATCGTCAGGTATTCAGTTATTTCACAATCTAATTGGTCATGTTTCCATGGAGACAGTACAGACATTCTTCGCAAAATAACGAACAACCTCACCTGACAGGAAAGCAAACAGGCATGCCTCAAAAAAAAAAGACTGAATTCGCTTCAATCTTCGACGAATGCAAAATCGAAGCAGACCAAAAAACGTTAGTAAAAACATGTCGGTAAAAATAACTCGGGTCCTTAGGGAGATGAAAAAATCTACCCTCATTTTGTGGATGACTTTTGAAACCAATCCTTTGCCTAAAAGCGAGTACTGGGGACAAACTAAACTTCTAAGCTGTCGTTGTTCCATTGTCAATGCAAATCACAAGCACTCTATCTTATGACTCATGTTGAAAAAACATTTTACAGAATTTTACAAAAGAAATGGTGGAACAGATCGACTACAAAGACCCCGCTATCGCAAGATTAGAAAAAAAATTTCATTGAAACTTCAGCTGCAGTGTCCTTATAAAAAATGTGACAATATGGCTCAACCAGGCATAACACCTGTTCTAATCAAATTCGCTATGATCTTATACATTCTTTAACGCCCTGACTACGAATCATACATTATCTGAGGCATCATTTGACGCCATGAGATTCATAGGCTGCCATAGGACATATTCATATCTGAAGAAATGCAACTCGCCAAAAACAAATGTCACCTTGCAAGTGATAC